CTACCTAAGAATAAATCCAACAAAATGTATACAAACTTTATGCAGTGCATTATAAAACTTTATTGAGAGAGATTAAAGACTAAGTGAAGGTTTATACCATTTTCAAGGATTGTAAGGGTGATTATTGTAAATATGTCAGGTCTTAAATTGGTCTATAGATTCAATGCAATACCATTCAAAATACCCACAATTTTCTGTGGAACTTGGCAAACTAATTTGCCAAACTAGTTTGCCAAACTTGGCAAACTAATTATAAAATGTATATGGGAATGTAAGAATCAATAATAGCAAGCCACTCTTGAGGAAGGAGAGAGGAAAAGCAAATGTCCTTTACTTGACATAAGACTTATTATATACTCACAGTAATTAAGACGGTGTGATATTGCCACAAGCAGCACAACTAGAAAAATGCATAGACAATTAGACCAATGTAATAGAATAAAGAACCCAGAAACAGACCCATGCACATATAGACACTTGATGTATGTCCAAGATAACAATAAAAAAGAGGGAAGGAAAGAATGATCTTTTCAGTAAATTGAGTTGGAATAATTTTGTATTCACATGGAGAAAAGGAAAGAAGAAATGAGGAAGAGAGGGAGAGAGGGAGGGAGGGAAGAAAGAAGAAGGAGGAGGAGGGAAGAAGGGAACGAGGGAAGGAGGAAAGGAAGGAAAGAAGGAATACTCTACAGAAATGCTTGCACATATACCCTAGAAGATATGTACAAAAATGTTCGTAGCAGTATCATTCATAATATTCCAAATTAGAGACAATCCGAGAATTAAGCAGAATGGGTAAATAAAATGTGATATATCTATTTTACAGCAACAACAATGGATAAACTACAGAATATATGAATCTTAACTTCAAAAATAATATTGAATGAAAGAAGTCAGACACAGACTACATACTATATAATTCATTCCTTCCTTCCTTCCTCCCTCCCTCCTTCCCTTCTGAGTTGGTGTCTCACTCTGTTGCCCAGACTGAAGTGCAGTGGCATGATCATGGCTCACCACAGCCTTGACTCCCTGGGCCCAGGCGATCCTTCCACCTCAGTCTTCTAAGTTACTGGGACAACAGGCATGTGCCAGCATGCCTGGCTAATTTATTGATTTTTTGTAGAGATGAGATCTCCCTATGTCGCTTAGCCTGGTCTCGTACTCCTAGGCTCAAGCAGTTCTCCTGTGTTGGCCTTCCAAAGTGCTGGGATTACAGGCATGAGCCACTGTACCTGGTCTATAACTTCATGTATAAAAAGTTCAAAACCAGGTAAAACTAGTGTCCAGTAATACATAATAAAATTACAAAACTATAAATAAAGGCAAGTCAGAATAGTGGTCACCTTTATAAGGGAGATAGAGGTTAATACTGGGAAGGGGTTGGGGGGGACAATATTCTATTTCTTGATTTGGATGGTTATGTGGTATCTGCCTTATAATAATTCTTACGATTGTAAATATATGTTTTATGTACTCCTCTACATGCATATTTCACAAGAAAAAAGGTTGTTTTTTTGTTGTTGTTGTTGTTTTGAGTTGGTGTATCACTCTGTCACCCAAGCTGGAATGCAGTGGCATGCTCATGGTCACCCCAGCATTGACTTGCTGGGCTCTGGCGATCCTTGTAGTGCCACAAGTAGCACAACTAGAAAAATGGATAGACAATTAGACCAATGTAATAGATAAAGAACCCAGAAACAGACCCATGCACATATAGACACTTGATGTATGTCCAAGATAACATTATAAAAGAGGGAAGGAAAGAATGATCTTTTCAGTAGATTGAGTTGGAATAATTTTGTATTCACATGGAGAAAAGGAAAGAAGAAATGAGGAAGGGAGGGAAAGACTTCCAAGTAGCTGGAACTACAGGTGCGCGCTATTGTGCCTGGCTAAATTTTTTGATTTATTGTGGAGATGAGGTCTCACCAAGTTGCCTGTGCTGGTCTCGAACCCGCAGCCTTAGGCAATCCACTTGCCTCAGTCTCCCAAAGTGCTGGGATTACAGACTGAGCCACTGAGGCCAGCTAGAAAAAAGTTTTTAAAAAGCAAGTTCACTTTGGCTACTCTGCAAGCAGGAAGTTCAGTTGTCCAGTAAAGACAGGATGGAAGCTTGGATGAGGGTTGCGAAGTGGTCAGATTTAGGAAATGTTATTTTAGAGGTAGAGGAAACAGGACTTGATGTGGAATGTGAAGGAAAAAGAAGATAAAACGAACTAGCACACCAAGCCATAAAACACAGTGATAAAGCATGCAAAAAATTAACTAAGTTTTAGAAGCAGAAAACAAGACATGTGAAGCACCAGGATGTGTGAGCAGGTATTAGACAGAGGACTTCTGTCCAATGACTTCAGGAAAGACTTTATAGAAAAGCCGGAAAATTGAACACTCGACACAGATTGTGGAGGAAATGAATGAAGGGCGATGATAACAATTAAAAGTAGTAGTTAACAGTTTGCGGGTAGAAGATTCGTGTGTATTTTTTTATTCTCTTTTGCACATTGTTTTATTTTTAAGATATTTCATACAGTGTCTCTCAAACAGATTTTTATATACTTATGACCATCATTTATATCCACAATTGAAAGTATAGCACATTACTTCAAACACAGTAGGCATTCCCTAAATTTTGCCTGGACTATGGAGTCTTAAACAAGCATCTCACACATTCCTTAAAATCCAGGAACAGTCATGGACAGCCAGCATGACAAACACATGATCCTGGTTGCCTATTTAGCAGTGCCTATATACTATATAGTAATGGTTTTTACATTACTGGCTTAGTTTTAACTTGGGATGTTACTGGGAATTTTATTTTTGTTTCTATATTTTCTCATTAAGCAGACTAATGGGTATGGGAGTAAGGTGTGGAGGGGTGTATTAATATCACAGGAAACAGAAGTTTATGTGAAAGAAAACTTCCCAGTCAAGCCACCTTATCTAGGAAGTCTTTCTGCAGGAGTCAGAGTTGATTTGTGAATCATTCAGAATCAGGAAATATGAGGATGGATTTTTTTTCGGGCTTTGGGACAATGAGAGCAGGATTAAAGAGGTAGTTTTAAAACTCTTTGAAGTCTTTGACTTAATATATGATTAATGCATGACTCTCCTTTTCATATACTCTAAATACCTTACGACATTATAAAATTTACTGTTGGACTGAATGAAAATGAATTTTGCACTGACAGCTGTTTGAGATTCTACTAAAGCCCTCATACAGTGTTTACTGTGAACCAGGCACCATTCTAAGGACTTTAGCGGTATTAACTCATTTCTCTTGACAATGTCATGAAGTCAACTTCATTTTACAGATGTAGAAACTAAAGCACTGAGAGGTTTGGTTATGTAACTTGGCTGACATCTCAGAACTGGAATTTGAAGCCAGGCATTCTGACTCAAGAGTCCATATTCTTACCAATGTCGGAAAGTATCTTTCTCTTAGGGAAAAAAAAAAAAGAGGAGGATATCATAAATTCGAGAACTTCCTTAGGCTTCTTCATATTGTTAACTTATAAACTATGGTGGCATTTTAATATGACATAGGAAGACAATTATCTCCTCCTCTGTTATTCCTATTGTTTAATCCTTTGACTTGCCAATGACAACCAAAGACAATCACTGTCATTCTCTCTGGCAGGGCTCAGTTAAAAATGTGGCTGACCTCAGCTTTTTTTTCTTTTTTAAATATTGCAAAGTTTATTCATACTCTTTGGTCGGCATCCTCAGTTACAAGTCTGCTTTGAAAAAAAAAACAAACCCTTAGGTTTTTGAGTTAGTGATCCAAGATAAACAATTAAGATTTTCAGCTTTGAAGAATATTGGAAATACCTTACAGCCGTGTACTGAATTTGTGTGCTGTTGTTCATTAAATTCCGGCATTTTAAGGAAAGGTCAAGAGTGACTAATACACTAATTACCAGAGGTCACAAGAGTTGTTATAATTACAGTCTTCTTTTTAATCTCTTTACACCTGAGAGTATGCGACACTGGGAAAACTCTGCAACTTCAAAGCAGGAAGGACGGCGAACGCTATTGGTAACTTTTCTGCTGGGCTAAGGAGTTTTTACATGTTCAAGCTCTAGACATCTGTACAAACGCAATAAAGACATCTCATTCTTCTAAAAACGGTCACACCTATCCGGACTAATGGAAAAACAACAGATCATAACTGGAACTAAAGAGTTGCTCTTCTTCAAATAAGGAACCTGGCTGTCTTGAAAAGCTACAGCACACAAACGCTACCCTGGTCCACATCTGCAGTTTAAAGGCTCCCCCAGAACAGCTCTCCCCGCAGCCTTGGCGCCTTCCTGGATATGCCCTCCGTAGGCTTCCCTAGTTCCCACCCAGGACGTCAGCCTCGGCACCCAGGGGGCAGTTTTGACGGAAAGCGGGCAGAGGGGAGGGAGACAGGAGAGCGAGCGAGCGAAATGGTCAATTCCTCCTTAACTCCGGGCCCCCTCGCGGGCCTCACCCCTCCTCCCGGGGGCTGAGATTGGAGAGGAAGTGGGAAGGCTCCAATCTGTTCCTCACTCCAGCGCCCTCATGCCCCCGCCAATCTCCTCGGCTCGGGGTTCGGGTGCGCCTCGTCCCCGCCCCTCGCCCCGGGAGCGGGGCGGGCGGCGCGGGAGGGCTCGCGGAGAAAGACCGGGGGAAGCGGACGGCCTCCGCCCGGCAACCGCATCTTCGGCACCAGCGGCCTGTAGCCACCCGCCGGCAGGCGAGCCAGGCCCGAGGGCAGCCCCGGAGACCGAGGTGGCCGGATGTACGGGCGCGTCACTTCCGGGCGGTGCAGCGGCGGCCGCTTGGAAGATGGCTGCGCCCTGTGGCTCGGAGCTGCCCGCCAACTCGCCGCTAAAAATCCCGAAG